AAAAAAATAAAAGACAAAAAAAAAGAAAGACAAAAGAAACAAGAAAAACAAAAGGAAAGAATAAAAGAAAATAAGAAGAACGAAAGAGAATTGGAAGAACAAAAGATAAAGGAAAGAACAAAAGAAAAGGAAAAAACAACTTAAAAAGAAAGAATGAAAAAAAAAGAGACAAAAAAAAGAAAATACAAAAAAAAGGGAAGACAAAGAAAACAAAAAAAGAAAAGACAAAAGAAAAAAAAATACAAAAAAAAAAAGAAAGAAAGAATAAAAAAAATATAAAATAAAACAGAAAAAGAAAAAAAGCTAAAAAGAAAAAAAAATGAATATAGTAAAGAAAAAGAAAGGAACAGAAAAGAAATTAATGAAGAAAAAAGAACAGAAAGAATAAGATAAAAAGAAAAGAATAAAAAATAGAATAAATGAAAAAACAAATAAGAATGAAAGAAAAGGATAAAAAGTAAAGGAATGGGAAAAAGGGCAGGAAAAAACTAAGGAAAAAAGAGTATAAGTAATGAAAAGAAGTTAAAAAGAAAAGTGTAAAAGAAAAAGAAAAAGAAAATTAAAATAAAGAAATAAGATGAGGAATAAGAAGAATAGATGAAGAAAAAATAATAAAAACAAAAATAAACAGAAAAAAAAAAACAGAAGAAAAGAAGAAAAAAATAAAGATAAGAAAAAATAAAAGAAACAGAGAAAAAGCAAAAAAAATAATCAAAAAAAATAAATGAATAAAAAAAGCAAAGAAAAAAAAGCAACAAAAAAAAAATCAAAAGATGTTAATTTTAATAAAGAAAAAAAAAACAAACTATAAAAATTAAAAGCATATATCTTATTCTGGAGTTAAGCAAAAGTTAAAAAGATAAAACATAAGCGAAAATTAAAAAAAGACAAAATGTTAAGCAAAAGTTAAAAAAAATGAAACAAAAAAAAACTAAAAGAATCAAAAAAAAATAAAAATAAACAACAATATATACTGTACAGCGCGGACCATAGTACCCCAGATATGATACATTCTACAAGCAAAATCCAAGTTAGTACCCGGGTATTATATTTGGAAATTTTTTTCATATAAAAATTTTTTACTATTAATAAAAAT